TTATTAAATTAATTACTTAATTTTAAATTATTTGTCATAAACCTCATTTTTCAGGTTCTCTTTCACAAACAAAATTATACCAATTGAATATAGAAATCACTTAAAAAGAAAAATTCAAGAAAAAAAGAGAGTCACAAACATTTATCAATCCTGAAAGGATACAAAGTCATTTTTAAAAACCATATTCCAGAGAACACATTACAGTGGTGAACCTTCTTATGAGTCGCTACCTTCTGAAAATACAGGAAGGAAGCCTCAACTATGCTGTAAATAAACATCTTAGGTTTAGCAGGTCTCTATTTCCTCAGAAAATGTTAATGTCCAGGATGGGCTAAAATCTCAAAAACAGGATTTCAAGGTGGAAACCACCACTGACCTAAAAAAAAAAAAAAACAACAAAAAAACAACAACACATGATCAGTCTTACATTTTACAAAAAAAGAAACATCTTTTTGTTTTTCTTAAAGGATTGTCAGATTGTTATGTGAACTGAAAAGACAAAAGGGAATGTTTTTTGAAGATGTGTATGTTGACCTAAAACTAACTAAGCTACTTTCAGTAAAGGAGCTAATCCCAACAGTGAGACATGGTGATAGTCATGGTCTGTAGGTTGCTTTGCTCATTCAGAAGTTCGGCTTCTAGCTGTAATTGGTGGAACTATGAACTCTGCTCTCTACCAGAATATCTTTCAAAAGAACTATTTGGCCATTGGTTCCTGAGTTCTGCAGCAAGAAAAAAACCTCAAAGCCAAAAAACTAATATATAAATAAACTGGGTTTCGAAGCATCCTAGTTCTGGACCTAAATCTGACTGAGACATTGGCATTTCTTAAGCAAGTCATTCATACCTGGAACAAACCCTTCGATGATGCTGGTTTAAAGTATATTCTGCCAGGAGGCATTAGGGGGAAAATTCCTCCACTGGAGATGTACAGATGTAGTGTCAGACATGTAAATGCATGCTGGCAGTTGCTGCTGTCAAACGGTGGGACAGGTTTAAAGGGACGACTGGGTTTCCTCACAGTTAGACCTTTTGCTCTTTATTTTGCAATGTTTGGCCATAATTTGGTGGAGTATTTTAAAAGGTGAAAGCAGCTATGGGCATTAAGTCTAATGACATAATCTTTACACTAATACAAATCCTTAATGATGGAACATTAAACGCAGATGTGCAAGCAGCCTTGGTTGAAACCCTGCTGATATATGAATTCCATTGTATGAAAACTCGAAGAGATTCTATTATAACACAAACATCCACAGCTATTTGGAAAGAAAGATTTGAGACTTGGCCATCCTGATCCTGATGGATATTATATTAAGCACAATTAATAATCTGCGATGCGGTGAATAATGACAGAGGCTGCCCAAAA